AAGCCCCTCTCCAGCTTTCCTGTAGCCCCTTTAGGCACTGGGAGGTGCTGGAAGGTCTCCCTGGAGCCTTCTCTTCTCCAGGCTGAACAGCCCTGACTCTCTCAGCCTGTCTCCAGAGCAGAGGTGCTCCAGCCCTTGCATCATCTTTGTGGCCTCCTCTGGACCCGCTCCAGCAGCTCCGTGTCCTTCTGATGTTGGGGACCCCAGAGCTGAACGCAGCACTGCAGGGGGGTGTCACGAGAGCAGAGGGGCAGACAGTCTTTTGCCTTGCAGCCTTTGTCTTGCTCACCACGAAGAGCAGCAGCAGAGGCTAGACTAGACCTACACCAAACCTTCACTCAGCTGAATACAGATAAGATTATTTAGATTTAACTAAGTTATCTAAATTCCAGTTGTATCTAAACCCGTGATACTGAAGAGACAGCTGCCACCACTGAGATGCCAACTTCTTCAGCCAAGCATTTAGCGTGTGGACACTGGAGATGTTCCCAGTCTCAAGGCACTGGGACTGTAACATTTCCAGGACACTTAAGAGCTGTGCCCCAGGTACGTGGTCAGGATGTGAGAACCAAACTCCCCCTCAGACAGGGACCCTTTGAGAACCCCCGGTACAAACCCACAAGTCAGGTCCCCCAAAGAGCCCCCAGCTGCACTTGCCATAAAGCAGCTGCTCACAAGCATGCAGACGCCTGGAAGTTCAAGGGTGAACCCTGCAGAAGTTTCTCCTTGTCCTGAAGACGTTCCTCCTTTCCCCAGTGCCCCCAGCCCGAGGCATGGCCTCCAACTCACTTGTTGAAACAGCATCACCTCGTAGGAAGGAACCAAAACTCTTCCAACCAGAGAAGACACAGGACAGGGCATGTCCACATGCTAAATGCTCAGCTGAAGAAATCAACATCTCAGTTCCACTTCCTGCAACATCTCAAACTGGGGCCAGCCCCAGTTCTTTCCTCGCAGAGACAAACACTTCAACAACCAAACCAGCAGCATGCTCCTGCTGTGTCCTCTCTCTAGCCCAAGCAGCCCTGGGTCTCTGCGAGGACACGACTTAGGAAGGCTGACCTCTCTGCCCGTGACAGCCTGACACTGGGCTCTGCCCCAGGGAGGTGGAAAAGGGGTTTAAAAGCTCCCCCGTTACTGAAGGAAATGAATTTTCTCTCCACTTCCTGAGCATGTTTTCTAATCGCTGGGGTATCACAGGAAATACACGTCACCACTTCCCACAGCCGAGTGGGGTTTTGATTTATTGCTGTTGGGGTTTTTTTACTTTTTTTTTTTAAAAAAAAAGTGAGTTGTGCTCAATTCCTTCAAAGAAGGGACACATGCAGTTTTCTTCAGGTACTGCTGCAGCTCCAGGTTCCCAGTAGACAGAGGCATTTTCTTACCATCTTGAGTGAGATGCTCAGGGTCAGAGGGCTGGGAATTCAGCCACCACCTTTCCAGCATTGCCCACCAACTGCCTCCCAAGCAGCTCCGACAGCCACGGCAGATCCTGCTCTGGAGACACTCCCGTTGCTCTGTACAGCAAGCCTGGGCCCTTTGTTCAGGGTCTGACGTTCCCCCAGGGCCAGGGCCTGTGCACACACTGCAGCACTTAGCACTGTGCAATCGAACCCTCCCTTGAATCTAACTTAGCCTCCCTGATGCAGTTCACATTTAAAATGGCATTAAAACAACAACAGAAAATCCCACCAACCCAAACTTACTGCACTATGTAGCAGAGGAAGCTCTTGGAGATGCTGGAATGACAACACTACACACGTAAAAGCATTAGCAAACTGCTTTCTAAACAGCAGGCAGGACTGTACTTCGTAAGTCTGAGGAGGACAGAGCAACACACACATCTGAAGACACTGTTGCTCTCATAATTCTTATTTATTAAGAGCAGAAAGGAAATTTTGCTGAAGTTTTATACATAAAAAAGTAAACAGTAAAATTTTCTTTTTATAGTCTTTCCACTGAAGAAAATTGAGAAATAAGTTGTCTTTTTAGATAACGTTTATTTAAAAAAATAAAATTAATTGACCAAGATACCACACTATTTTGCATGCCGGCCATCCCTCCCGCTCGCAGAACCCTGTTCCTCGCCTTCTCCTTCGGCGAGGAGCCGCTTCGCCAGCGATGCTCGGGCAAGAGAAGCCCATCAGGCTGGGCTCACACCCCGACAGCTGCTGCAGCTACACAACCTAGTGAGATATCTCTGCTTTTCCCAGCTCAGGTCTTTAGTAAATAAATTTCGAGTGGACACTAAACAAGTATTTCACTAAGAGATGATGAGATATTAAAATTAAAAGCAAGTCGTATTGCAGCTGTAATTATACTACATTAGAAACTTCGGTTGCTGGGGATCCATTCACCATAGATAGATTATTTTGTAATCAAGGTAATTACAAAGACAGAGCATTACTCCCCTGCATGCTTTCCCGGGCTTTGAACCAAGAGTTGACTACATGTAGAGTTGACTAGGGTGTACTTGGAATTCACTCTCTCAGGCAGGAGACTAGTTAAGGAGTGTTACCGATAACAAAGAAGAAAAGTTATACAACACCGATTATTATAAATTACTTTGTTCTTATCTGCTTTTTGCCTCAGTCTCCTACGTATCCTCACATCCGCTCGTGTAGAAAACCAACTCTTTCCTCTTTCTCCGTACGGTGACTCCCCATTCACTAATGGTGATTAGAATGTGAGGAGGAGGAGGGCTTGATTCGGAACACGTGGATGTGCAGGTGGGCAGCGATCTGATTGCACACGCTGACACAGTACCGAAGCAAATCAAAGAGGGAAAAGATCTGCCAAGGGAAGAAAAAAAAAAAAAAAAGACACACATTTAGCTCTGTGTTTTCCTAGAGTATAACACCAGCTGCATACTTCAGAATAAAGGCACTGGGTCTTCTCACAAACTAAATCTCCAACTCTGTAGGCATGACAACTCAGTGAAGAAAGAGGTTCCAGGCACGCTGGGCTTTCTTCCAGCTTTGTAAGAATACAGACTCTTAATTCTACAGTCAGAGAGGGGAAAACAGTTTAAGTAGCTCTACAGATACCGTGAAATGCCCCATTAACTCTGACTGGTGATAAAACCATACATAAAATATCAATTTCATTAAAAGGTTAACACTGCATTTTGGAAGATAACACTTGAGTGCTTGATAAGCACAAGCTGAAATTAAGATATTTTTTCCTAATGGGTGCTGCTAGTAATAACAGATGTACACACTTTCAAGAGCTTGAGGCACAGCCATACTACACTTGCACTGCACATAACATTCTCTTGCTAACAAGCCATCAACACAAATCTTCAAAATACTCTATTCTAAGCTTTAAGTATTTGCTACACTGCTTTAAAACTGTTTAAACGATGCACCAAGCAGGCCATGTTTACCTCTGTCTGCATGAGCTCTATTTAAAAATCAGCTCATCCCATCACACTCCATGTGAGTCAGCGAGGCTCCACCAACGCCAAGACTGGTTGTGAAAGGGCACACAAATGCCTGCAACAACTTCCCACACGCCAAGTGAACCCAGACTTACCAGGGCGATCCAGAGTACGATATACTCATCAATAAAGCTGTTAAAATACTGGTCCAGAAACAATAGTGCTGGGCCTATGAACGCTGTGTCGTGCAGGTGCATTTCGCTTTTGGTCATGTGTGCAACCTATATGGGAAAAAAAAAAGGAAGTTTAAGAAATAAACACATGCCAGCCAAGGCAGAGTGACTTCAGAACACACAAAGCCAAAACAGTTAGTGTTCAAGCCACATTACTGTAAGATGTGCCACGTGCTTAAGTAGCAGCAGCAACCCTGTTTTAGCCATCAAAGTCTGCAGCTATATGAGACGCACGGTTTGCAGAGAAGTATCTTTTGCCAGAACAACGAATGTACCTACAGGAAAAAAAAAAACCCTAACATTTTCCAGCACACAAACTCTTCCTCCTGCCAGAAACAAAACAGTAAAATGGAACTAGACTGGTAAATTTTAAGCCTGGAAACAAAAATTCACAGCTGCTAGATCTTAAAAGAAAAGAGGGGGCGGGGGGAGAGGAGGAAAAAAAAAGAGACACTTGGTGTTCTCATTCCACCTATTCGTTCCCATCCCATAGGATCACCAGCTCTCTCTAGTTACAATGGGATGATCATGTCTTTTCATGCCAAGTCTGGCCTTCCCAGCATCCCCCACAGGCACAGAGGCTGTCCTACACCACATCCTCAGTTTTACCAGCACAACTGGTGATGTGACTGCGTAGTAAACTGGTCTTGGTAAGAAATTAACTTTTCTTCCAGTGCGAGTTACAACCAGCACTGATCCAGTTCATGTGGCAATGCAACATATGCTGCAGAACTGAGCTGGCGTGGGCAGCAGTTGTTTAACCCCTTGTTTGCTCGGTTCCAGAGGGGCTCCTCTCCTGATAGCATTGCCATCTGTTTCCTGTACAAACCTGTTAATTTTAACCACTATTTCTCTCCAATTGTTTGAAGTGACACACTGAGCAACTGTTCCAAACTTCAGCAGCTCTGTCACCTTCTCTGCCAAAAACTTTCCTCCCTTCTGTACCTGCATCTGAGGGGGGTTTCGGGCACCTCTGTTCCAGCCCAGCTCACCACACGTGTGCACAAACACACTGCACAAGTGTGAATAAACAGCTGGGCAAGGGGAAGAGACACAACTCGGGCAGCTATAAGCTGCACTGGCACTGACTGTGCAACCATGGCATTAGCTTGAGGTTTACCATCCCTCTTTCAAACAGAGGAAAGGCTCCCTGCACCTCCAGGCTACTGAAAGTAAAGCATGAGTATTGCTTCAGTACACAAGCAGATGCAAGAAAGTCAACAGAATAACCAGAGAACTTTAAAAAATCTACAGAATTCTCTGTGATAACGAGAATCACCGAGGTCCTGACGCACTTACCACTAGTTTATTTGTTATCTTAGCAGATACAAAACCAAAAGTAAGTATATACAAGCAGGGATGCCTTTCGAAGAGCTGCACAGCAGATTTCTTGTAGATCATCGCAGCCAACGCGATCACTGAGCCAATATGAAGAAAAGGTGAAAGGACACTCGTTCCCTACGGCAAGATAAGAGTTAAAGCCTCAGGTTAACAAAACGTGCACGTTGCAAAGAAACCTCCACAAGCCAGACACTCACGTGGTTTGCAACGGGTGGTTTCCAACTAAAGTCACATTAAAAACGTGGCTTTCTGAACACCAGTACTAACAGGAACAGAGCGTGGTGAAATCCCAGTGAGCATCAGCTGAGGAATCCTGAGCACAGGAACCGTTCCTGTGCTGGTTTTTGGCAGGAGAACGTGCCCAGTTCTGACACTTGTCACACAGGCAGTGGCTAATGCTGTCAGCAAGTGACAGGAGACAATATTTCTATAGTTTTTTCCTGTGCCAGCCAGAAAGCAACTAAACCAGCCATCTACGTAGCAAGTCATTATTAGGCTGGTATAGAACCACTTTTTGGAAAACTCTTGGGGCTCCAGAATCAAACATCACTTTCACTGAAACAGAAGGTACTTCTGCAGGTACCTCCTCCTGCACTTTTTACCTGGTAATATAAAAAAACCCCAGATCTTCTGATCCTTTTAAAACCATAACCAATCTTCTTGACAAGTTTCCTTCTGAATGGATTTTGCAACGGACTTTTCCATGAACTCTTCGGGGGTACGTGTACTCGTATAACCTGTTTTATATGATTAGTTCAAAAGCAAATATCAAAGTACCATAAACACTTTTAATCACTCAAACATTTTAAAACTCTTGCCTGCATAAGAGCAGTAACTTTAGGAGTCGACATTAACTTGTTTTTCTCAGGCCAGCAAAGAACTGAAAGGAAAATATTTCACATGTAGGAGTATTATGTTAAATAGAAACGAAAGGCATGGCTGAAAAGCCACAGGGTGCTGAAGAATAACTAGCAGAACAAAACACTTACTGCTATAGTGGATCCGTTTTTGCCAACTCCACCTGTGAAGATCACACCAAAGTAGTTTGTACAGGAGAATATGGTTCCTGCGACAGTACATAGAGCTGGGAATATTTTCACCTGAATATTCAGTATTGGAATCTTAATGGGAGAGAGACAAGAAGTTAAAATACACACAAGCAAACTAAAATTGGGCTTAATACTTCCAGTGCACTCAAACACTCCACTTTCCAACACCATGTTTGCTTTTCTTTCTCTGCTATACAGAGATTCAAATTTCTAGAAGGCGCAGAGAAATATGTATTTTTCCAATAATCCTTCCATCAAGCTTCCCATAAAGCCAGGCTTATCTTCAGTTACCTGAAAGGAGCCATCAAAAGCAGAGAACTTGACAGAAACCAAGAACTTGCTAAATCACCCAGCTATCAAATGGAAGAGAAACACATCAGTCATCTTTCCTGAAGCTGGTTACAGAACTCACAACTGCAGCCCAAGATCAAACTGGACAAAGCAAGAGAGATGATTAAATAAAGCCCCTTAAGAAACTGGATCCTATCTTATGGGCAAGACAAGGGAAACAGAGATGAGACACATCATCTCAGAGTCACTGAGCCCAGGACAGCAAGCAATGAGGTTGCTAAAGAAAATGAGCACAAGCAGCTTTGAAAGCAAGGCAGTAGTTTCCTCCATTTTTAACAGCAGCGTTTCAAGCAGGACAGAAGAAACTAAAAGTGCAGAAAGAGTTCAAAACAAACCACAACAAGTATGTTATGGAAGCAAGCGTTCAGAGAGAACTACCTAGAACTTCCCAACTCAATCTGTACAACTGCTAAAAATCTTCACGAGCTTTTAATCCAGGAACTGAAGTCGGAGCTCAGCTAAATAAACATCCTTGGCTCCCAACAGCTGGGAGTCCAACGACACGCAGAGCCCAAATGAGGTCAAGTTCTTTATTTTTCTTCAATTACACTCTCAGTGTGGCTTTCAGCAGGTAGAGATTAGTTTTCTACCCTGTTCACTAACTTAATCTCTCCATCTCTTCAGGGCACAATTAAAGGCAGAGCCAGCTTTAACCCTTCATGCCTTGGCTCTTAGGCAGCCTACGGATGAGCACCCAGACCAGCTCTCCAAATCACACTGCCCTGCAGGCTTCTGGCCAGCCAGTATAGTTTTGTGCCACTGGAACATATTTCTCCCTCGCTCAGGTGGAACCATAACCATTCCTTAATGTTAAGAGGCACAGAACTTCGGAAGGTCTCTCCTCAGCCTTATAAAGGAAGGCACCTGTGCTGCCCTCTGCCTCAGTAACGATACTTTGGTATTTAAAGAACAGGGTGAATTTGCTCTTCTACCTGAAGAAAGCAATGGCAAGCCTCATACAGCAGTCAAAAGACATTAAGCTTGACATTTCCCAAAGGCAAAGGGAGTTCGCTGGGAAAAACACCCCATGAACTCCAAACACTACCAACACATCTGAGAACGATGCTCGGGAAAGGCAGAAGGATGAGACCACACTGTTTGTTACAACATCCAGTTTGGCAAGTTATACTAATTAACACTCTCCTTTCTGCTTTCACTGATGGGTATTAGACTGCACCTATCTGGCAGAAATAATTAATGGGAAACAAAGCCACATACAGAAACTTGGCAGAGGGAAGTCAAAGGAGAGGTATGACAAGGTAGTGCCTGCTAAATCGCTTTGCATACAAAAGTTGGAAGCAGCAGAGGCCAGCAAATAGCATGGAGGAAAAGAGGAAAATAAATAATCTGAGTAAAGGAAGAGAGGGAGTTGTACCCAGAAACCCTATGAAATGGCATAGCAGCCCCTGACTTTTTAAATAAGAGGACACTGCAAGGCAAGCTACAAGACTTCCTTGTCTGGTATTCCACAGATCCCTGCAGTCCATGAAAGTATTCTGACCTCGCTGGTAATCACAGGGGTTCCACCAGAAGTCAGATGCATGTAGAACTTCACAAGACCAACGTCTACGTCAATAACGCAGAGAAGCACCACAAGCCACCTCTTCTGCAGGGAAACTATGTTCTCTGCAAAACCCTTTGAAGTTGCTTACAGGAGAAAGGTCACACGGCACAGAAAGCTCCTGAATACGGATACATCCCGGTAAAGGGATCATTCCAAATTTTATCTGGGGAAAACCACCCATGTGTGTTAATAAAAACAAGTGGCAGCGGGCAAAGGATGGATTAACGAGCGCTTGCCAGAGCCTGGATTAAAGCAAATCCAGAATCATTTGCCAGAAAATTAATGTCAGGCCTCCAGACTAGATGCCACCAGAGTTTTGTGCAGCATGAATTGGGGGTTATAAATAAACAAATAAATATATAATGAGGAAGTAGTTGGGAAAAGAGCACAGCCCAGGGAAACAGCAGCATGGAGGGCGTAAGACTGCGCATCCGTAAGCGGACAGAGACTGCTGGCATCCCGGGAGTCCTCCAGCTGGAGTTGGGAGCTGTATGTACATATGCTTCAGCCCCATCCCAAGAGGAGTAACAACTCCCAGCGGGCTAAACCTGAGCTTGCTTTAGAGTCACACAGCGTTGATGCTTTTAAACATCCCGTTATGGAATGAAACTCGAGTGCCTGCAGCACTTTCTCACTTCCAACAGAAAAAAAACCCTCTATATCATCATCAGTGCATCCAACAGATGGTACCTACGCTTGCTCACGTTACTCACGTTTTCCAAACGAGGATCCCAGCTGCGGGGGGATCACCATCCACCAGGAACGGCCGCGCTCCAGGAGCCTCGGAGCAGCGTTTAACTCGCTTTAAAGACAACCTACGCTGCCCGAAGGAAGGAAGCCAGCGCAGGCACGCACCGTTCCACGGGAAAGCACAAAGCTAATGAAAGCACCAATTGACAAAATACACAATTCTGCATTCAGCCTACTCAGGTTGTTTTGCTTTTCGCATGTTAGTATAAGAAAGTGGAATGTTTGAGTATAAAACCACATTTTATTTCCTTGTTTCCCCCCTCCCAGAGAGAAACAAACCCCAAACCACCACCAAACCATCCATTTTGCTGTCACATAAAATATTAAACGACTGGGGAGAGGGATGGGGTAAGGAGGGGCTGTGTGACATGTTTTGCTCTGCAAGTAGTAAATAACATTTTTGTCTAAATAAACATAAAATCTCACAAGTTGAATGAACAAAGAAAATTCCTGATTGTCATAGGAAATCTGATCAAGTTTGTTCTCTGGAGAAACGCCTCCATTAACCCAACACTGGGCTCCAAAATAGTTCAATCTTTTGGGAGCTGACTTGGCCAAATGTTACTGCAACGCAAAATTTCTAATAGATTTCGGGATTTTACTGAAAAGGGTTATTTTATTTTTTTTTAAAGGATTGTTTAATTTATTTGATAACACAAGAGGACAATTTCTAAGCTCACATAAACATCACCCTGCATTGAATTGTGCCAGAGGGTGCTGTGGCAGCATTTTCCCCCCCTTTTTCTTTAAAAAAAGAAGGAAAGGAAACCGAGAACATGAATTGGGAAATCCCCATTTGTAGCGTGGAATCACAGCTGCATGGGGATGTTGGCCACACTGACTTCTCTGGAAAACTCTGGCACCAGTAAGCTGTCTTGTAGCCTCATTTTTTTCAGAATTAGCTCTACCCACACTCTCTCTTTAGATGGTATTTACTTTGCAGTTTCCATAATTAATCGAGGGGTTCAGGGGTTTTGAGCCTGCAAGCACACGGATCAGAACTCAGGTAGCCAAGGTTAGCTCCTTTTTCTAGATATTCTCTACAGTGTTAGAGGGTTTGTCTCTCTAGTTATATGAAGCAGATTAAAAATTCATCAACTTGGGGTGACATGTTTCAGTAATTTTTGACCATCTCTTGGTTTTATTGCAAATCAAGATTTCTTCAGCCACCTTAAAAATCGCGTTTATCAACCTCACAATCAAGATGATGCTCAAGAAGGAAAATCCTCCAGGAAATCAATACTTTGGATGTTCTTTCTAGAAATGTGCTGTATTTATGTATGCACATGTATGTTTTTTCTCTGGGCAATGCAATTCTGAAAGCCCAGAGTGGCTTCAGTAACACAAACATAAAGTCAACTTAATGACAGCCCATAAATTGCCAGCTGACATGGCCTGGGAAGCCTATAGAATATCTGCAGGATCTATATGCAGCCAGCTCATGGCAGTCAGCTTTCTTAATTAGGATGTTCACTGCTAAAAAAACATCACAGAAAAATAATTAATATTTTTTTTTCCCCCCATATAGATAAGAGTTCTCAGCCGCATCCAGGCCAAACCATCTACTGATGGTTACCAACTGGTCTCCAAAAGTTTCCCCCATATCCTCAATCCAATTTAGGACTCCTCTGTTTCTGATAGAGCTTGTTGCATGATATTCATTTAAGTTTTGGCCAGCTCTCCCAAAGGGAGCTGGACTTCACTGAAGGTACATTTAAGTTGGCGCAACGTTTGATGGCTTTCTACCTGCAAACACAAGATCCAAAATAATGGCTGGGTTTAATAACCCTGGCAAAACCAGAATGCACAGTTATTGCCATGTGACCTATGTTCAAGAATATATATTTCCATTTATGAGGAAAAGTGAGACCTTCCCCTCACAGATTAAACTGTGCTACTGCATGCAGGTAGTTCTTCCAGGTGCCTTCGAGATTATTAAAAAGGATAAAATAAGAACATGAACAAAATTACCAGAGATTGCCAAAAAGGTGGTCCTCCAATCACTGCCAGTAAATGCATGATTATTATGAAGATTTGCACTTCAGTCACATCAATTCTGATTAGGTACAAAAAGCCAAAAAAAAAAAAAGCAAAATTATTCAAAGCAATTTCAAGTCAGTTATTTGCAAGCTCAGCAGCTCTCCTCTGTCATGCACAGTATAAAACCTCCAAAATCCTGAGGAAAACAATAGAGGCAAAGTTTATAAATAATTTAGAAAGCAAAAATATATTTTAGTTTCATTGTTAAATGTAAGAGCCATGCTGTGCTATATTTTTTTGTTTCATTTCACAGTGCAATAAAAATCCATTTTGTGAAGAGGAACAGTTGGAACTCTTCTTTAACTGACCGCTGCCAGTTGCAGAAATAAATATTCACTTTTAACCTTGCCCACCAAAAAAAAAAAGCATTTCAGATGATAAAATTCAGGAAAGATATTTTTAATCCCTATTATATTCCCTACCCTATTTTTTAAGATGAATATTCTCTCTGAATGGCATCAAATTTTAAAAAGAAACAGGGATCCCAGAAGAATTTGTGCAAATGTAAAGGCACAGTCAGCTGCATGGCTAAAGATGACACAGCTCAGTCTCTGGCATGCAGCAAGAACAACTCCTGGTTCTAGAACAGCTAGTGTGTTTTGTGGAAGGCCAAGAAGGAAAGGCTTATAGAAAAAACTGAATTCAAGACTTTGATTTAAAGACCACGCAGAAATCTTGGAGCTAGCAAGAGGGAAAAACAGCTACAGAAATTGATTCCAGAAATGGAAGTAAAGAAAAATACAAGTGAAACACAAAGAGGATGGACTGGCTGGTGGATGACATGAAGCCATACAATGCTCTCAGACTGGAGTACTGTATCAAAAATAATCCTGTGACTCAGTTTAAAATATTTATGGCACATTGCTTATCTCTAACGACACAGTTCCAGCCAAAAGACCCAAACTCGCTCCTTGCAAAGACATGCTTTGCTGATACAAACCCACTGTTGATGTTACCAACTGCACAGGCAGCAGGGAATAAGGGTTCAGGGGCACGATTTTGCCTGTTTGCCTGAAATGAGCTACAAGACCATATAATTAAGTTAATATCAGATCAGTGTGCTACCTCAAGTTTTCTCCAGAGCCTTTGTTCCAGTTTTGGAGAGGGTCCTTTCATCTGAGGATCTCCAGTCTGGCCAAAACGTAGAATCACAGAATGGTTTGGGTTGGAAGGGACCTTCAAGATCATCTTAGTTCCAACCCCCCTGCCATGGGCAGGGACACCTTCCACTACACCAGGTTGCCCAAAGCCTCATCCAACCTGGCCTGGAACACTGCCAGGGATGGGGCAGCCACAACTTCTCTGGGCAACCTGGTCCAGTGCCTCACCAAAAATCTAATTTTGTTGCAGCGACAGATCAATAAGCACAAGGGATAATTACAAGGCTGCATCTAATTCCCATGTGGAACACCCCCCAAGGCATAAGAAAGCAGAAATCCAACGGTACGTGGCATTCCGTGCTATCTCTTATCTTGCCATGGATTCTCTAAACTGGCTGCAAAAACACTGCATCCATCTCCCACTGCGCAGCTTCCCGTTTCCATCAGCCAAAGGACGTTCTGAACAACCCCTAAGAGCAGAACACACACCTATGGAACAAACAGCAGATCCGGCACGCAGTGGCACCGTCGGCAGCACCAAACAGGGTATGAGGCACCCAGCCCGACTGTCGCCGGTGCCAGCTGCCACCGCTCCCTCCCAAAGTCATACAGCAAGTAAGCAGTGAAGCAGCAGAAGGGAACGTAAAGGACGAAGAAGATGGGACAGCAGCAATACCCAGGAATGAGCCAGGCTCTTGGCATACAATGGGAAAGTTTAGCTAAAGCTGTCAGAGGAAACCTAGCAAAGATTCCAACAAAAAGACTATTTGCTTTAGATATCTTTGGTTTGTACATTTTGTTCTCACCACCCCAAACATGGAGATATGAGACACATAGGAAATAACCTCAGAGGTCCTGCTTTATTCTGATTTGTTCAATAACAATCCTGGAAGGCAACCAGACTGGCTTGGGGAAAAAACTAATTTCCACAGAGAGGAAAGAATGTTCAAAAAAAAATCTGTATTTTCAGTCCTCATGCAAACAAATTAAGCCATTGAGCTACGCTGCAAGAAAAAGCAAAACTGCCCAGCCAGGCAAGAAGAGAGATACCCAAAACATCTGATTAAATGCAAATTGCTTCCTCCAGCTTTCGGAGTCAGCGTGGAAATGTGTTTTGAGTGTGTCCAAGCCAGGAAGGGCTGAAGCAGCGCTGTGAACTCACCCAGGTTGAACAGGAATCCATTTTAGCCTATTTCACTACTTCTGCCAATGACCTCGAAGAACATAAAGCAACTGAGAGAGCTCCCAGAAACAGTGACTAACAACTGATGTAGGTAACTCAAGTTCACAGCTTTCCTTGGGCAGTAGGACAGGTTTCTTTTGGCAGCAGCAATCTTAATGCAAAATAAAGTAAGGTCATACACTTCAAAAAAAAATGCAGATCATAAAAGACAAGGTATTCTGAAAGACAAGTTCTCAACGCAGAACTGGGATGCCAACCAAAGCCACGGAAGCAGTGCCTGGGTTCAGGTTAGGGAGACAGCATTACCTGCTCCATCACCTGTCCTTCTGCCCTCCCCGACTCAAATAAAACGGCACCAGGCAGCTGGAGAGGGTTCAGCAACTACATGTATGTCTGGTTAAAAACTCCCCCCTGGCTTATTCTAAGAATCTCATATTGCAGAACAAATACCCATCTTAGCTTCAATTTCACATAAATAGAAGATTTTTAGCACTAAAGACATAAGATGAACCAAAGAGAAACTAAACACCTGGACTATCACCTGAAGTAAAGTGTTAAGTTCTTAATACCAAGGATGAAAAAGGACTGGGAACATCCTACACTCCATTAAAAATCACTGCTGGATGACTTAAAAAGATACACTTCACACCAGCAGTGTACATGCCTGATGCTGGAATTATTCAGTGATTTTTTTATTTTTTTTTCCCCAGAATGTCAAATGGCCACTACTTAGAAATCCAAGATTTCAGGAATCCAGGCAGGCAGCTCCTCGAAACTAGACCACAAAAGAGAACAATATTTGGAAAGAGAAGCTGGGTGAAAGGGAAAGGAGCCACACTGTTCCTCTATTCATTGAACTTGAATTTGAAATGACTCAGCAACTTGGGGATAAACTGGACTAAATCCATGCTGCTGCTAAAAGGAGCCATCATCCAGGCTTCTCTAATGACCGACCGCTTTCTCCCCCAAAATCCACCTGCTCCATCCCACTCTGGCCCTGGTGCCAGCACTACAGTCTCGAGCCATCATCTAGATTGGGAAATTGGCTTAACTAAAGTGACCCAACTGAAAACAAAAAGAGGAAAAAAAATAAGGTTCCTGTCCCAATGTCTAGCATATCAGCTTTCCCTGTCCATTCGGTGTGGGTCATGAATGATGCCAGCACAGAGCAGAGGGCAGTGGCAGGGCTGCACTGCCTCCTTTGGCAGCTGACCACCACCGTGCTGGGCCAAAGCGACTGTGCAGCTCCGGGCTTCCCCATGGCAGGAAACGGGAGAAATACACGGGAATGAGTGTAAGCTTCCGAACGCGACACAAGTGGACTGCGACCAGTGTCCATAAAAGTCCTGAATAGTCCTCAAAAATGTCACGCAGTAAAAAGTGAAAGACTGCAACCAGAAAACACAGCAGCAACGGTTCCGTCAAGACACTGAGCAAAGGTAACACGGGCACTACCCGGAAAATGTCAACGCTCCGGGCAATCCAGAGGACATTCGCCCCTACACTTTAATGATTAACTTGTATTTATGAATTGTTTCAAGATAAAATATGCTGGTAATACAGAGAGCCTTAAATAGCCTCAGTCACCATACTGGTTTTAAACTCTGGTAAAACTGGGCAGGTACCTAATAAAAAAAAAGCAGGGCTGCCTGGAAAGCTGCTTGCTCAGTTTGGATGCAGACTGACTAAGGTCTTTCTGTACTACCCACACTTGCTTTGGAAGAAAAAAAAAAAAAAAAAAATCTATTTAGCTTGCTTTAGTGGCTAGGGAAATCATTTGCAAAGCAGGGTGGTAACAGTCCTGCTTAAATATTACATAGTTAGGACTGGTTTTTTCCCACACAAAGTTCCATTGCACATTGGAACACCTCTTCCTGTGATAAGGACTGTACAAAATAAAAACTGGGGTAGTGGAGCATTTATTGAGTAATAGAGAAGGTTTTTTAGCATCAATGCAAAAAGAGAGGTAACATGAGGAGGAAAAAAAAACCACAGCACTGGGATATCAAAAGTGAGGAAAGGCCTTCGGTGCTGCAGACCCCCCATTTAATTACTGGGCACAAAGAGTAGCCTGGGACCATAAGAAGACCTGTAGGAAAGCAAAACCATTTCAAAGAAAGAAGGGAATCAGCCAGTTCAAAGCCTGATTCTATTTTCTCCTTGTGTTTGTATTTATTTACTCATTTAAACACTACAGTGGACATCCTAAGAAAAAACAAATGGAAAGAGCCAGCAGCA